AGTCTACCCGAATCTAATAAAAACTCATTTTCATTTTTTGGGTAGTTTCCGCCCTTTCTACTTCAAAGCGCCCATATAATCGATTGAGTTTTCATACAGAACATTTACTATAAGCAGCCAATGAAATTTTAAAGATCGACAACCAATCAAATGGATTTTCAACCATGCTATACGCCAAAATTTATAATACTGTAATATTCGCTTTAGTCCCTTTTTACGCGTGTCATAATAATATAGTATAATGGGTGCAGAAGAAGGTACAATAAATGTCTTATAAAAATGAATTCTAAATAGAAATTATGTTCCGTTTTCATGATATTTAGCTCTCTTTAAGTAAATTGTCCAGTGTGCGGAACCTTGATTGACATTGCGATTGTCAATGAGCATATTGACAATAATTGTTCAATGGCAATTACTAAAGATTCTAAAAAATTGGCATCACCTGTCAAGGTGGGATTTCGAATAATTATAATCAGTATTGAATATACATTGAATAAACGATCTTAAAGTTTAATCGTTGCGATTGATAGAATGATAAAACAACGCAAGCAACGAAACGCAAAAACATGATAGATTATTGGGGAAAGCCATCGACAGAGATCGTATCCCCAATCCTTTCTAAAGAGACGTCAAATGCGCATTCAAAAGAAACTTCAATTGCACGATTAAAGGAGACGTCAGATCTGCGGCCAAATAAGCAAATTAAAACGAGCCATACAAAAGTGGACATTCCTTTAGCCGCTAGAGGTGCATTAGCTCTCTATATAATCGACTGTATATTTTTAAAAAGTTTACAAAATTAAAGCTCGATTTCTTTTATTATCGATAAGCACGACCGAAAAGTTTGGATGCATTTGTAGGTCAAAAAGATCTAATCGGTGAAAATGGAATGCTCAGAAATTTAATTTTACGCGATAAGATTCCATCAATGATATTTTGGGGTCCTAGCGGAACAGGAAAAACGACTCTCGCCAAAGTGCGTTTATTATTAATTCACTATTTTTATCTGACGTGAATTCTTATTTCATACCTGAAATTTTTTTTCTAGATAATTACCAAAATGACTCAATCGATATGTAAAGAATTTTCTGGAATCACTCACGGTATAATTACTTAAAATTATTATCATGTTTTAATATTTAGACAACAATTCACTTTTATATATATAACTCTAGCCTCCGCTGATATCAAGTTGAGTGTAGATAGATATAATTTGTTTTAGGAACGAATCTAAGATATTAATATTATTTCCTAATTTTTAGAAAGGCATTCGATGAAGCAAAAAATGAACAAAGACTAACTGGAAGGCGAACAATAATCTTTTTAGATGAGATGTACGTCATTGTACTTTATTGACCGTGTAAGCAAATGTCTTGTTCATCGAATTATCTAAAACATTCTTATTTTTACTCTATAAGTCATCGCTTTAATAAACCACAACAAGATTTGTTTCGTGAGTGCATCGTTCCTTTTTTCATTCTTTTCGACTATAATACTATAACACAAATTTAAACCCAATTATACAGTTCCATACGTCGAGTCCGGTGATGTAACTCTTATTGGTGCGACAACAGGTTAGTCATCATCTGTATTTTATATTATTTTTGTGGTTTATTATTCGCTAATTAAATCATTTAAGAATAGAAAATCCTTCTTTCAAAATTAACTCGGCTCTTCTTAGTCGATGCAAAGTGTTTGTGTTAAAAAAGCTATCGCCAGATGACGTACACTGCATCCTACAAAGAACAGTCCAAGATATTTTTCAGCAAAGAAAAGAGCCTTTTGAAAATGAAGACGCTAAAATTCAAACGACATTCCAGTCTTCGAAAGAGCACAATGAAGTTGATGATGATGTACTAAGATTATTGGCAGTCATGAGTGATGGAGATGGTTAGATACATTTTTGAGTTTTTACTTGACATTTATATACTATTATTGATATAATCATATTATACAGCTAGGATCGCATTGAATTCTCTAGAAATGGCATTAAACGCATCGTGTCAAGAGCGAAGATGTATTACTAAGGAGGATATTAAATTAGTATTTCAAAAATCACACCTACTTTATGATAAAGATGGGGAAGAGCATTACAACACAATAAGTGCTCTTCATAAAAGTATACGCGGAAGGTGACAGATCTACATTTTAAAATCTTATTATTACCAACTTCCTCTTAGTTAGTTTTACATTTTATTTTAGTGATGCAAACGGTATAACCTATACAAATCGTAAAGAATATGGTAATTTGATATATATCAGATGTATTACTTACATGCGTTTTGCTTGTAGCGAGTTTATACTGGCTTGGTCGAATGCTTATAGCAGGAGAAGACCCTTTATATATAGGTTTGTCGAATATCAATTGGCTTTTGATGCTTAATTACATTAATTCATATATTTTTTTACAGCAAGACGATTGATTGTTGTTGCTTCCGAAGATGTGGGACTTGCAGACAACAACGCACTTCCTTTGGTAATAGCATAAACGTATATTATTTGTAAACATATAAATCATGCTGTCTTGTTTTATGATTTTTATATATTTCTTTTTTCTACTTATCAGGCAACTGCAACATATCAAGCATGCCAATTCATTGGTATGCCAGAATGTGAAATCAATCTGGCTCATTGTGTTACATACTTAGCGGAGGCTCCAAAGAGCGTTCGCGTTTATAAAGCTTATGGATTGGTATGTAAACTACCTTAATGGAATACATAACCACGTAAATTTAGCCATTACTCACAATGAAGCCGTCATTTTCAGGTGAAACAAACAGTCCAAAGTGAAAATACCTATCCGGTTCCCTTACACATTAGAAATGCTCCAACAAAATTGATGAAGGTAATTTACCTTTGTCGTTTTCATATAATTTTTAAATCAATGATTTTGATTACAAATTTCTTTACAAAAAAAGGATCTTGGCTATGGTTTTAGCTATAAATATAATCCGGACTATGAAGGACCTGTCAACCAAGAATATTTACCGAAAGAACTTAAATGTAAAGTATTTTTGGATGTTTATGGACCAACGAAACGCGACGAATCAGCAGATTAAATATAATGGTGCTTCTAAAGTAGTTATATGATTGTAAATGAATTAATCGAAGATTCAATTACTTTTAATAAGATACTGTATAAAGCATTTTTATTGAATAAGTCTGCCTCTGTAATACGTGGTTTTAAGATCTCTCTGATGATGGATTATGTTAAAATCTGAATAAGTTTGCGGTTCGAGTGCTTAGACATGATTATTTGAAATGATTTATCTTGTCAGGTATAATTACTGAGTTCATTTGATCCTTTTTAATGCATATTAGTTTTTTGGTAGCTTTCCAGTTATGGTTGATACTGCAACACATGCTTCATGTGTATATGTATATACGTTTTTTGATATCATCCGGATAGATGAATGAAAGAATTAGGTAAAACGTACATAACATAATTATCAAAAATAAATTAATGTGAATTTTCTGCAACTGTTTTAAAATAACACGTGTAAGTTCTGGTATCTCTTACGTTAATTATGTATTCATAGGTATAGATGCAGACATTTGAAATGTCAGGGTAGTTTTACCTCTACGTCATTGCAGTATGTTATTTGACTTTCTAATGTTTACAGCGGGACGTGTCAGGATATTAGTTGAATCAGTTTACAGTCAGACCTCTCTAAGTGCACGGATTATGTAAACTCTCTCTAAATGCACGGTATAGTCCGGTCCCAGCTTATAAGGGCTCTATATATTTTGCTCTCTATGAATGCACAACCTCTCTAAGTGCATACTTTTCAATTTTTTTCCTATGGTCCCGAAGGGGTGCACTTAGGGAAGTTTGACTGTACTATAAAGCTCACCCCACCTGATAAATTTAATCGGTTATATGTATATACTTAGATCTGAGATTTTTCTGCCTCCCTGGCACTTCCCTTATCGAAATTTGGGCTTCGACCTAATTGCGGCAGTATTGGCACATAATTCATTATAGCATGATCATGTGCCAACATTGCAGGGCGCGTTTAACATCAATAACAAATGTATACGGGTTTATTTATATATATAAAGTACATATGTGCATATGTACTTTTGAGAATATATCATTTTATAATAACGAAGGTTAAAATTTCAGTATTACCTTTTCAATATAACCCAAGTATATAAAATTAAATCAGGTTTTATATTATGGTCCATCACTAGCGCTAGCACTTCTTTAATATTTGGCAATCTAAGCAAGTGCCACTAAATATAATAAATAGTAAACATGTATTCATAATGCAGAAGTATTATAAAAATATTGAGAATTTACCAAAATATATTTACAACTTACTAATCTTTCTGTTCCATCATTACATTTCACCAAATATTTATTGTAAAGCCTATATTAATATCAATGCAAACCAAATTAAAATAGACTTAAACCGATGAAAATTAATCTCTAAAACTCTTACTCTTCTCCGCTGTAACTAAGTATATTTTCCATTAAGATTATATCAATTTAATTGATATTTTAGCCAGAGTTCTATATCTTAAAAAAACAAATGCAGAGAATTAATTACCAGTATTATATATCAAATCTAATTGAGTTGCGAATTTTTAAAATTTGTAAATTCATGATTTATGGTTCAGGCACCAACTCTCGCTCTTGATCATCTGGTTCTATGAAACCAAAATCTTGTGAGAGAAATAATCTTGCATAACCCAAATTTTAACCATTTTTATACGTACTAGGTCCAAAACGGGATATAGCATAATTAATTTACTGCTTGCATGGAAAGGAATAAATATTAAAAATAATAATTATTATACCTTTACTAAATATATCATCGATTATAGATTTTGTTGCCCTTTGCTTACCAATGTGTCTGATTGATTGAACTCTAACACCCTTTTTACAATTTTGGCTGCATAAAGGAATTGAGAACAACGATCATTACTTATAAAACTTTGAAAATCTAATTGAGTTCATTAAATATACTATTTTCTCTTTCAACCTGATCAGAAGGAATGTCATTAAGGGCGTATTATTTATTATAAAATATCGTGATGGGCAGTGGTTTCTTAATTTTCCGCGTCTTTCCTCAATTCATTTTGATCTAAGTTCGCGCTTATTACACGTTACGTTAGGGTAGTGACAGATATTACGTAATATTTTTTACTATACCCTCTACTAACCCTCTACACGTAAGAGAAATTTAATTGGCTATTATAAATTTATATTTCTAACGTAAGACCCCCTCCCCCCAAGAATATTACGTAATATCTGTTATTACCTTTACTCGTTTGTCCGGAGTTCTGTCTAATTTTCCTTCATTCAAATAAGATCAGATGTGCATAGGACAAGTTCATTTTATTAGTCATCTGATTTTATATTCTTTATAATAATTTTTGGTCTAAGTAGAAAAAAATTTTTTGGTTAAAATTAAATCATTTAAAATTTTTTAAATTATTTTCAGAGATTATATTTTAAAAAGACTTCTTGAACGAATTCTAAATTTATTATTCAGCTTAATAAAAATAATTAAAATGAACGCAATTTTATTCAAATAGATATATAAAAAAAATATATTGGGTATTTCTAATGGATAGAGAAAATAACGTTCACAACAGTGTCCAAAATTTAATGGCCTGAATCATCAAATAAATGACCAAGTTGTTTGTGTCATAAATGTTATTTACTGTAGGCATTTATGTATAAAATAATTTCAGTCGAAATAGCTAACATGTTATTGTTATTGGCGTAGAAACTTCTATAAATTAGACTTGAAAATAGTCAAAATAAATAAATAATAAATAAATAACTTGAAATTTATTGTCTCAAAGTTTTACCAATCAAACAGATCAGAAATTTTAAGTGAAAGCATTGCGCTATCTGTTAAAATAATTATAATTAATATTAGAGAATAAATTTCATTTAAATAAAAATAACAAATATACAGTACTCACCGCGATAAAATGTTGTAGTGTAATTAATAAATTTGCTTTTATAAATTTCATCAGAATATGTTTGTGGAAATTTTTTGCTAATATTTTTTAATATTTCATCCGATTCAGTTAGTTCCCGCAAAATATTTTCATCGCTTTGCCATTTTGTGAGAGTTTTACAGATTTCTACCGCTGAGATGCGGTTTTTTGGTTCTGTTTTCCAACATTTCTTCATTAGGTTTATATAGCATCCTGGAGTGTCCACAAAAATTGTTGGTCGTAAGCCATTATTACATATGTTTAATTAAAGGCGCGTTCCAAATTCTATATTATACGATACTGATCTTCCATATAAAATTTCCCACATAATTATTCCGAATGAATAAATATCTGAATATGTCGTGTAACACCCTCCATCCAAAATTTCTGGGGCTATATACGGTAATACTCCATAAACGCCACGACGTTCTTCCTTTAATGCTATTCTAGTTGATATTGAAAGTCCTAAGTCTGCAATGTAAGCACTATGTAAATCATCTTGCAAAATGTTACCGCTATGCAAATCTCGATGAATAAGCCGTTCAGAATGAATTATTTGGAGGTCAGAAGCAATACAATGCAATAATGTTAATTTGTCTTTCCACTTAATTTGCACTATCGAGTTTAGATTTTGACGCAAAGAACCTTTAGTCGCGTATTTTAGTACAAGAATATAATCCTCAGAACCGTAATCTCTTGAAACTCCATAGCATTTCAAAAACGAAGGATTGCTAAGTCCGATTTCACAATATGCTTTTAGCTTTAATGTTTTTTAAAAAAAATCAAAGTGAATAATTAAAATACAAATGCCATACCGAACTATCACATATTAAAGTTAAAATCACCTCATTTTTAAAATCTTGGGGGTAATAATTTGAGTTATGGAGTACTTTAAGTGCAACAGAAATCTTTGAACGCTGATGAGTAATTTGTGCAAAAAATACAGTTGCAAATCCACCTTTTCCTATCATATAAATATTTTTAAATTCATTATATGGAAACCAAGATAAATGATATTTTTCTAATATTTCTTTTAAATCATCATCAATATTAAAATTTTTATTTGGTTTATTTGCAGGCAGTGAATCTTTTGCCCTATAAATTGTTAATATATATTATTTATCAAAAAAAAATTGATAATTCAGGAATAAAGATAAAAGTGATTACTCACATTTGATACCAATAATTAGCTTTTTGCATGTCTCTCTCTATTCCAATTCCATTTCGATAATAATGACCAACTCGTGAAATTCCAGCTACACATCCCATATCAGCAGATTTTTGATAATGAATGAATGCCTTATTTTCGTCCTTTTCAATTCCAATTCCTTTTTCATAACAATAACCAATATGATACATTGCTTTAGAATTTTTCATATTAGCAGATTCTTGATAATATGTGAATGCCTTATTTTCGTCTGGTTCAATGCCAAACCCGTTTTGATAACAATATCCAACTTGACAAATTCCATCAGAATCTCCCATCTTAGCTGACTGTTGAAAATAAATAAATGCCTTATATTCATCTTTTTTAACTCCAATTCCATTTAGATAACAATAACCAACATTATATATCCCATTAGCATTTCCTATATCAGCAGATTTTTGATAGTAAATAAATGCCTTATATTTATCTCTTTCAACTCCGATTTCATTTTCATAGCAATAACCAACTTGTAACATTCCGGCTATACTCCCCATACTAGCAGATGTTTGATAATATATGAATGCCTTATGTTCATCTTTTTCAACTCCGATTCCATTTTGATAACAATAACCAAACATTATATGTTCCGTCAGAATCATCCATCTCAGCAGATTTTTGATAACAAATGAATGCCTTATGTTCATTCTTTTCTACACCAATTCTGTTTTCATAAAAATTACCAATCTTATACCATCCTTTAGAATTACACATCTCTGCAGATTTTTGATAATAAATAAATGCCTTATGCTCATCCTTTTCTACACCAATTCCGTTTTCATAACAAAATCCAAGATTAAATGTGCCTTTAGCATGATTCATTTCGTTACATTTTTGATAACATATGAATGCTTCATTTTCATTTTTATCAACTCAAATTCCATCCATATAACAATTACCAACATTAAACATTCCTTCGGCTAGGCCCATTTCGGCACATTTTTGATAACAAATGAATGCTTCATATTTATCCTTTTCGATTCCGAGTTTAATAGCATCTTTTATGTCAAAATTCTTTTCGATAAAAAACGGAATATCGTAATTCTCCATTTGTAATCAAAAAACAGAAACGTAGTAAACCGAGGTACAAAATTATGACTACTGTATCTTTATTAATTTATGGAAATTTTATAAACAAAGGTACAAAAATAAAAATAAAAATTGTTACATGTAGGGGCCTTATTTGTGATTATTTTCGTTTTGGGCCTTTGTAAATTCCCTAAACCATGCATACCGTTATGCAACACACGCGAATTTCTGCTAGAGAACAAAATCGATTTAAAGCATATACATGTCTTTTCACATATTTTAGATTAAAAAATTTTGTTTCTTTAAAACATATTTCATCAAATAAATTACTGATCTCATACAAGCTTCTAGATTTATTAATGTAAAGTAGACAATATGTAATTATTTGAAAAGAGTATTTACTATACCCAAATATTTATGTGAGTGCATAAAAAGAGGTTAAGAATACTTATAACAAAATTCATAATATTTTTTTATTTAATAGATTAAAATTTTAACTAACAATGATATGCAAATCATTGTGAAATAAAATTAGCGGTGAAATAATTTCATCACTATTGGTGAAATTGGTGAAATTAATCTCACCAGCATCTCTAGACATGCCATTACGACGCATTTGTGGAATTAAGGAAATTAAGCAGATATAGTAGGAAGATGGGTTAGACGTTATTGTTATATTGCCATAAAACTGGGGTGAAAAAAATTTGGGATTTAAATTTAGTGACCGAATATTTGGATTTGGGGCAAAATATGAAGTCAAATTAAATTGACTTACTATCGGTAGTCAAACTTTTTCAATTTTGGGGTAGTTTACAAATGCGTCGTAATGCTACTGACCGATAACACAAATATCTTAAATGATCCTAATGACCAAAATGACCTGCTATCGCTATTACTGCTTCTAGTAAGATGGTCACACTAACTGATGCTCTAAATAGCGGATCTATACCTTTTTTGAGCCACTCACCTTGAAGCAGATACAAGAGCACGGTGAAATTCCTTGTAGCACAATTACTTTACATTTCTGCCTACTAGATCAAGGATATCTCACGATCCAGCAATATGAATTTGATGAATTTTATACCATTTGATTCGTCTCATTGAGACAAATATAATAGTATAAAAATTATTAAATTCTACATACTGGACTATATAATAATTATTTTCTGTCTTTTATAAAATTTGTTTTCTAATTTAACCTCTTGAATATTGTGATTATTTTTTGATTATTTTAATAAAAGTAGGTCTTTTACGTATTAATTAGTAGACTTTGAAAAATCGCAAAACTAAAAAAAGTACCAATTTTGGGGTTGTCCACCATGCCTGATAATAGATGCATGTTATCTTGAAATTACCAATAAGACCCTTTGTGTAGGTTTCTTAATAAAATCCCTTTTAATCATTAAGAGAGAAAGTAAACTTATAGTATTAAATAAACCAATTTTAGATTTTTTAAGTATTATAAGCAATAATCACTGTTCAAACATTCCTTTACACAGGTGAACTTGTATTAGGGAAGGTGTTTAAGTCCAAACAATATCTACATACTCATATTTAGTAAGAAAAAGGTCGAAACTTTAAAAAAATCCATAATATTTGATATGTTTCATCGGGAAAATTTTTTCTATTCAGATCTGCAATATTCTGAGGACAGATTTTTACAGCATCGGGAAAAAGTTTTAGTGCAAACCTTGGGGTGTTAGATATCAAATGATTAACTATCATAGTTCAGCACTATATGATTGGCCCATTATTAAAGATTTTTAAAAATTTTGTCGATCATTCGAGTTGACATGCATACAGGCGTATGCATAGTCAATAGATCGAAAAGATGGCTAAGCAGGGGTAAGCTCTTCGG